TACATTCACTATACGAAACACAGCAGCGTTAAACTACTATTTTACGCTGACATTCTGTGAGTGTGATCCTTCCCCGGTCTTGTCGACCCATTTGTGCTACAATACGCTCTCACAGAATACCACCGTAAAATAGCAGTATAACGCTGCTGTCTTTCGTATGGTGAGTGACCCTTTTTACTGGAAACGAGGCATTACATCTTAGTCCTCACGGGTGACAACGCATCCGTATTTTGATTCATAATCGAGAATAGATGTAGATATCTATGGGCCGCAGCAACCACTTAACATCAGGTGGACTGAAATAAAAAAAAAATTAAAAAAAAATCACAGATATTTAAGAAATCATTATTGTATTTAAACAGTGGAATTATATTCGTAATGTCCCGTTGGAGATTACTCATATTATATTTTTACTAACGAAAAAAAATTATAAAATATTTGGAAAATCCAAAAGTGCATTTAATTTTGATGAAAAAAATTGGCCGTTGGCCGCTCCCCGGGCAGAACACCTTGCCCGGCGGGAGATCTCCCCTTTTCCTTCCACCCGCCACAGTGGTGACCCCGACGTGATATTAACACGCAACCAACAACCTTCGGAAACTACAACTTCAAAACCTTCGTCATCGTACTCAAGTACCCCATTCATTCACTCCCGAGCAGATATTGTCTGCAGTCTTCACATTCTGCAAGCCATTTAGCTTAACAAAGTTTCATCGCAGCACTGGAATAATAATGCTTCCTGTTCCTTCAAGCTACTCTGCGCTACAGTGTTCGGCACGGCTCTGAGCCTTACTGCTCGCCTCTGCTTCACGGCACTCTCGCAGATTACTTGCCTTCTTCTCGACTCACCGCAGACTTACAAGGCAATTCCCTGGCACTAGTAAATTCGTCGACATCTAGACTGCACTATCGACCTCCGGTCTGAGCAGGGGGGTGATGTGGCGGCGCTGTCGTCGCGCCACAAACGAAAACATATCGTAGCCTAAATCGCGCTAACAAAGTTCCGCAGTTAAAGCAGCATATATAGAATAGCTCCGAACTACCGATCGGAGCGTTGGCCGCTCCCCGGGCATAACACCTTGCCCGGCGGGAGATCTCCCCTTTTCCTTCCACCCGCCACATGTCTATCAAGTGGTAAAAAAATCAAATGGAAATTATTAGGTTAAAAGGTATATATAAAAAATTACAAAAATCATTTTATTAACAAACTACGCGTACTAGGCTAATGATATGAAATAGGGAACCAGTTCATGTAATTCTGGAACTTATAAAAAACTCGGTCTCGATACGTCAATTCCTTTTAGGGGAGTTATCGTAACCGCAAACAAACGTCCACGTAACATATTTTTCAAACTGTATTTTTTTTTTCAAAGTAGCAATATACAATGATTTTTTAGAAAATATAAGATGGATTAGGAGTGTTTTTTTATATATACAGCATATAATGTTATGGTTGTGCAATATTGTTATGATAGAGGCATTTTAAGACAACAAAATTGCTTGACCTTGACTTGTAGGGAGAAAAGCCCTATTTCAAACACTTTGCGTTATGAGGCGTGCAAAAAACTAGTTACCAAACAATGAGGCAATCATTGGGGTAGACCTTGTTAGTAGGTGGTTTGTATTTCACAGGATTGCGGTTTTACTTATAAAAATCAACGCCAGCTAAAGAATGCTTTAAGTTGCAATCTCTCTTCTGCAGGGCTATTCACAATCGTCTCGGAAAGCGAAATCGACTCGGATTCGATAACTTCTCGCACCGAAACCAATAAACGCTATTAACATTTAACGTTCGGATAAAGGTCACTTAGATACATCCTATAACTATTGTATCGTCATTTAGTTACGTGCATTTACGAATTTTGTAGATAAATAGGCTTTTGTAATTTTTTAGAGTAACGCCTGCATAAAAACATAATGCAATATTTTGGAGTTAGCCATTGATATCGAATATAAAAAATATATAATTTAACTATATAATAAATAACAAAAAAACTGAGATATGTCTCGTTTCTGTCGGGTCTGGGTTTTTTTCTATGGGGCGTTCTTTGACGTTTGTTTTCGATAATTGTGACAGTTTGCATCGGAAACTTTACGAGAGCTCTGAGGCTGGCGAAAACTTTTCGAATATTGATGATTAGAAGAGATAAATAAACCCTTTTAATTATAAGTTAGGTAACAAAAATTAATTACAATTATCTATAAGACGTATTTTCATATAATTACTTCAATATTTGCACTTAATCGTAAAGCTGAATTTTTGTGAAAGGTGTGTTTTTATAAGTTTTCTATCACAAATATATATATATATATATATATATATATATATATATATATATGCTGCTTTGTGAAACGAGACATATCTCAGTTTTTTTGTTATTTATTATATAGTTAAATTATATATTTTTTATATTCGATATCAATGGCTAACACCAAAATATTGCATTATGTTTTTGTTTAGGCGTTACTCTAAAAAAATACAAAAGCCTATTTATCTACAAAATTCGTAAATGCATGTAACTAAATGACGATACAATAGTTATGGGATGTATCTAAGTGACCTTTATCCGAACGTTAAATGTGAATAGCGTTTATTGGTTTCGGTGCGAGAAGTTATCGAATCCGAGTCGAATTCGCTTTCCGAGACGATTGTGAATAGCCCGGCAGGAAAGAATAGATCATCAATGTAGGCATTATTATTTTATTGTCAAAGCAAATGTGTATTTTTATTCAAATACTCAAAATATTAACCGTTTAATGAAACTCCCAATGGTATTCATTATTGACTTTTTACTCAAATTCCCTAGAAGGAGAGTAATGATTTTCTAGTGTATATATGAATGTGTCTTATTTTTTGACACCCAATGTAGCCTAAATGGTTTGATGGATTTTAATAATAGGTCCTTACGTATGAAATTAGCGTTTTGTCCTACTGACCACTTTGATCTGAAATATCTCCTCTTTGGTTAAGAATTCCAAATTCAAATTTATAAATTCATTTAGCTGGTACATTTGAGTTTTGAAAACAGTCATTCATTTGTTTTATCCTCATTATTTTTTTCTTGGGCGTCGCTTATTACCGCACAATGGAAAACATGAAATATCGGTATATTTACGAGTACGAGTTCTACCGTGGCACCAGTGCTTCAGAAACAGCTCGAAGGATTAATAATGTGTACGGCGCTGGTGTCGCAAAAGAAAGCTCGTTACGTTTTTGGTTTCAACATTTTCGTTCTGGAAATTTCGACCTTCAGAAACAACCTCGTCGACGGCCGGAGACCAAAGTGGAAAATGAAGAATTAAAGGCTATTGTGGAAGCGGATCCATCACAAAGCACTTCAGAGATAGCTGCAGGCTTCGGGGTAAGTGATAAAACTGTATTAATCCACTTGAAGCAAAACGGGAAAGAAAAACACTTGAACGATGTGTACCTCATGAATTGAGTGAATCAAACTTGCAAACACGCGTCGACTGCTGTGTTACTTTGCTCACCCGACACAATAATGAAGGGATTTTAAATCGAATCATTACTTGTGATGAAAAGTGGATACTGTACGATAATCGGAAGCGCTCGTCGCAATGGCTGAACCCTAGAGACCTAGCCAAATCCTGCCCTAAACGAAAATTTACTCAGAAAAAGTTACTTGTGAGTGTTTGGAGGACTAGCGCCAAAATAATCAATATTAACATTTGGTTTTCAGCTGAAAAAAGTTTGTTGATCTAAATATTATTATTCTATTTTAAGTTATATTTTAATCTACAATAAGGGAGAATATATTAGACTCTTCACCGAATTCCAACATCACCTGCATGAAGTAAGCCCTGTTTACTAATGGATGTAATGTAAATATGATGTAGGTAATCCATTCATGTTATAATAACACAACCGAAAATCTCACAGGCTGATGGTGGAGAGTGTACTGCTGTTATCGGCTCATTCTAACATGATCATTCTTACAGTCTCTTCAAAAGTCCATCATACACATACCTTACCCATGTGTATCCATCATTATCCTGCATGTCTTATCAGTTCATCACTTCAGTGGGGACCATCCCATGCTTCGCTTACTGGTTTGTGGCTATCAGTGGAGAACCTTTTGTATTCACTAACCTATGTATATATGCCTAAATCCAATAGTGGATATAGAAGAAGAAAGCCAATATTCATTTATTTATCTTCTTTTTAACTTTTTTATTGTATACAACATTATATTACATAAACACTGACAACAAACTATGTACTAAATGTGCAATTAGCTGGCCCTAATGTGAAACAATGATCTGTTCCAGACAAAACTATTTTGAAGGAGTTTATTTTTATTTAAACATATGTCTGCATACATTAATATATATAAGCTGTATTATATAATATGTAAGAATAAAAGAGAAACAGATAACATTATATTATACAGACAATAATGTATTGCATATATTTTAGTTATTTATTATTTATTTTAAATTTACAGCTCACTGTGCTGATGGAAAAGCTGTAAGCTCAACTTTAAAAAACACATCTGAAGTTGTGCTCTTAGCCGGAAAAACAGGAAAGCTGAATCCAAGTCACTGGAGCATTAAGCCTTTTGGACAAATTCTATCAGAAAATTGTGATTAATAGAAACCTAAAAGGATTAGATGTTGTAACATTAAAAACAGATAACCAATTAGCGCAAATGCAATAGAAAGCATAATTATGAAAAATTTAAATATTTTTGTACTATAAATAGGGTTTTAAAGATTTTAAGATTTTTAAGTTTTAAATGGTCAATACCTTGTGAGGTGGAAGCACATAGTCTTTATCAATGGCCTATTTTTTGGGTCTAAAAAATTAAAAAATAAATAAATGTCAAATTCTAAAGTACCGTGTTCGTATTGGTTATTATTCTAAGATACTTGTTTTATGTGCAGTATCTTCTTTGTAGTGTGTGCATAGTATTTAAAATATAATTAGATAACAGTGTCATAGTATTACTTCTAAAATAAAATCAATATGCTGTACTCACCAACCGAGGTGGGACCGTTGGGTTTCACCATCGCGTTCTCCTTTTCCTTATTTTCCTTGGCCTTGGACTTCTCTTTCTCTTCCGATCTCACTCGCTCTCTGGGCTCGCGTATCCTTTGTGGTTGGGGCGCGAGGGTAAGAACGGGAGCTAAGACGGTCGTGGATGTGGGGTTAGAGGCAAAACTAGGGACGAAGTTGGGCACGAAGTTGGGGGCGAAGTTGGGGGCGAAATTGGGGGCGAAACTAGGGGTGATAGTGGGAGTGACAGTGGGTGTGGGGGTTGGGGTGGAGGTGGGAATTGGGGTGAGTGTCGGTGCAGGGGCGGGTGCGGCGGCTTGGACGGATGCGGGCGGCTCCGCTCCAGTCTCCGCCACAGGCACCGAGGACTCTATCGCCACCGGCGATACCGTAACGCCAATCGCCGGGGCGGCGGTCACCACCGGCTTCTCGGCGTCGTCGGCTTGAGGCACATGCGGTTTGTTTTTTTGCTGCTTATTCTTGTGCGCGTTCGCGCTTTTATTATTATTATCTAACGCTAACGTTTGATTCTGTTCACTAGTCTTTTGTAGTTGCTTTATATTTGTAGGCATTTTAGGCACTATAACAGGACTATCTGATATTGCTGATACTACGGGAGTTTCGCTAGGCTCGGCAACAACATCAGGTCCTAGAGTTTTAATTTCATTAACATTTAAAATATCAGACTTTACTATATTATTATTAACAGAGCTTATTGCATTCGTTTGAGGTTGCATAGTTATTGCCATGGGGGGCGTAGTAATTTCGACGCTCTTGTGCCCGAAGACCGGCTTCATGGCACTCTCGCCGACTGATTGATTAGCGATCGACTCGTTCACCAGTCTGGAGAACTCCTCCGCGATGCTGTGCGTTGGCGTATCCTGCTGAAATTAGGAACAATTAGTACAACAGTATATTACAGCCCACTGCTGGTCAAGGGCATCTTTCAACATGTACATTTGAAGCGTGTCTCGTCTTTTTATGGGATATCGGTGACAAACGAGCAAACAGTCTACGTGATGGTAAATTGATACTGTGGCCCATAGGCATCTACATCTATCCTCGGTTAAGAATCAAAATGCATTGCCATACCTGAGGACTGAGATGAAATGCCTCGTTTCCAGTAAAAAGGGTCTTCGGTTCACTACACTTACCATACGAAACACAGCAGCATTAAGCTGCTACTTTACGTTGGTATTCTGTAAGAGCATGATCCCCCGGTCGAGCCAACTCATTTGTACTACAAACATAATATAGCTGCAGCATGGGTCTCACATCTTTATTACTTTCCTTAATTCAAGATTTCTTATAGATTCTTTACATATTTTAGATATTTTCTTTATGTGGTGATGATGGTGAAATCCCTCTGAAGGCACCACAAGTAAATCCCGTAAACAACAGTGGAACAGTGGGACGTTTAAAATCAACTTGCACTTATGTATTATACACAACATAGAGATAGACAAAGTATTTGGTGAACTTACCGGTTGCGGAGTCTGCCTCTCACTCGATTCACCGCTCACTAAGTACGTGTCGTTATTGCATTCTTCCGTAAGCACCTCTTGATCTGTTGATAATAGTACACATTTCCATTCGCAATAATATTCTACGGACATTAGCAAAAAATTAATTTCATAAAATTCTTCTTTATGTCATGGCTTTTTTCCATTGTAGGCAGGCAGTTTAGAAACAAAGTTCACAAGGACACACATCCGGACCCTTAACAATTATTTGTAGGCCATACAAATACTTGTTCCGTGCGTACAAGTCATTGCTAAGCAACTGCGCCACAGAGCCGTCAAATTAATCCGTACAAATAATTAACAATACAAGTAATTGTTCCGGGTCTGGATGTTTGCCCTCGTGCAATTTATGTTTGTAAACTGTCTCCACGATACAGGAGAAAATCCTAGTGTAGGGGTAACGTTTTTTAAAAAAGAAAGAATAAAAGAATAAGAAAGAATATTGACTAATCCTCACCATCGCCTGGAAGACTAGCAATAGAAGTAACAAACAGCATCTTTGATGCTCCTGACCATCACAGGTCTAGACATTTTGCGTCTAGCGTAGTCGAAATGGTTATTACACCGCCTTCAGTCGAAAGCCATTTTTTTGACATATCCCATATTCGCTTACGACATCCACTGGACGAAATGGGGGTATGTGACGAAAATTACATCTGAGTTATACAGGGTTATTTTGCAATAACCGGTCAAATTTACAGAGACGGTTCAGAATAAGTAATATAGGCAAATTGTGAAAAAAAAATTAATGAAAAAAATCTCAAGTATTCTGTCCGTTTTATATTTTAAATTCAACATTCGTGGTAATGCATTATTTTAACTGATTTTACGGCGCACGCACACATTCGTAAGGTCGATCGGTAGGCAAAAACGTTGTTGCCCATAAATCACATTCAATTTGGGATAATTTCAAATAAAAGTAGAAGACTTATTTACTCGTATTTTCAAAACCTGCAGTAAAGTTATATCATTATTCATGTATTTGAACTTAAGTTTAAAATTTGACCACTCTTTGAAAAATAACCCTGTATACAAAGACTTCTATGTACATATACTACTACACATATACTACTACACCGGCAATACAGAACACAAATTGTGTCACAGCTGTGGATGGCGCGGGCGCGGGCCCGACGTGATAACAGGCACGATAAGTATGCCATGCAGTTGTATTTTCATTTACGACAGTTATTGTTTTAGGCAAATACGAAATAAAGTTACATACATGATTATCTGAAATAAACTTCAAATCACGTTAACAAAGTGCACACATACGTAATGGTTTCTTTAGTTCCTATAGTGTTAGATGATCGAAAATAACGTTTGCGGTTCAAAAACACAGAATTGATCTTGTCGTCCGCTCGGAATCGACTAAAGGAGTTACGGAGAATTGACCGTAACTTAGTGCACAACCGCAATGTATTAAAGCCGCAGAGCCCATCTGGGAGTATTAATAGGGGTTTTTTGGTTATATACATCCCACTACTGGGCACAGGCCTCCCCTCAGAGGCCTCTCTTCTGAGGGAGTTTTACGGCAAGGAAATGTCCGCCGCGCTGCACCAATGCGTGTTGGCGAACTTCAATACAGGTAATACAATCAAATAAAGGTCATATCGTTAGTTTACCCGCAGGGATAGTAGGGCAAAATGTTTCAAACCGGAACAGGTCTCTGTGTTTCAGGATATCAGCAGTATATTAACTGGCTCAAAAGTTATAATACTTTCCAATAAGTTTCGTCAAATTTGAGTACATATCAGATTTTAGTCTAAACTAAATAGTTTAATACTGGATACTTAGTAGTACAAACATGTCTTCTAGTTTCTCTATCAATTTAGTCATGAGGTTGCTTTATTTGAAAAAGCTTAGTAATAAAGAATCACATTTTCATTCAAAGCAACATTGAAGTTTTTGCGATAAGGGTTTTTTTTTTATAGAATAAGTGTGACAAACGACCACACAGTCCACCTGATTGTAAGTGGATTATTAAGATGATTTTAGTGCGTATACTATTTTAATTATCAACATGACACTCTGCTATAGGCTCATGCCGTTTTTAGTTACATTTTGATATATCGTACTCATGTACGATAAATTTTGATATATCGTACATGAGTACGATATATCAAAATGTAACTAAAAACGGTTTTACATTACAAAACATATCGTATCGATATGCTGCACAAAGACAACGGTTTTTACAAAATCGAAGTAAATCCAAACGCAACACAGCTAGCTAACGTAACTTCTCATAACGTAAAACCATACCCATTCCGTTACGCGACGAAGCAACGTAACTATCACTATATTACATATTCGCCGCCTCTCTGTCTAACTGATGACCCTGCCAGTTGTGAAAACGAGACAAATCGAATATCAAGTGCGTTATCGTTAGTTGTTTGGTTGCCAACCTAAATGCGAACGCCAAAACTAACATTTTCTTTTTTAATTTAACTTTATTTTAACATGGTAATGTCATGGCGTAATGTCAAGTGTTTATCATTTAGCGTAAATAAATACACGTGTTGATCTCTTAAAAATTAGTTTTTTTGTTGAAAATCCTGAACCCAAATCTTCATAATACTCTTAATTTTTTTTAATATTCATAACTTATTATTAGCTAAATGAAGACGTAAATATTTGAAAAGAAACTTTACTTACGTGTGTCCGGGTTTATAATCGGTACTCTGTGGCTGCGTTTTGTGTGATTTGGCCGTATACCTGTAATACATTGGTCAATTAACATACTATTTTAGCGTACTTCATAAAAGGTTCACAATTCGAGAGTATTTTTTTAATCTTACACTACAATTGTGGACAGATTTGAAGATTATTTTTTATTAAATAGATTATACTTCAGGAATCGCCCAATATAAGTATAGAGAAATATTCCATGGCTAAGGGTGGGAAAATATTGGTGAAGTTTTTAGTTAATTTACTATTTAGACTACATTCTACTTGTTACATTGTAAGAAATAACTGGAATGTTGGCAAAATAGTATCTTTGTAGCTTGTGATATCCCTTAGCCCAATCAAAAGGGTAAAATATTAAACTTTTAAGAAGTAAAAACAACTTCAAAGAAATAAAACGGGATAGAACCCACAGCTTCTGAAGTCAGAGCTAGTTATAATTCTTGTATAAACTATGTCATTATATTGATTTATGGAGCTTATATGTGGAAATAATTTTGAAAGTGAAAACTTAACAATCATTGTGATTTGCAACTCGAAACGAAAAAGCGACACTAAAAAGGTACAAATACGTCTACAGAATTTAGCCTGCGGGAGAATGAGATAGAATACAGTATACAGTGTTTCCTATCATCTCGGTCTCCTTTTCTGTAGGTTTCACCTTGTGTTAACGGCAGCTTTTATTTTGAACGGTTTGACGGAACGGTTTGAAGCTTTTATTTTGTAACCAAAAAGCTTAATGCCCACCTGATTGTAAGCGAAAAATCTATAGAAATGTTCTAAACCTAAATTCACAGCGGAGATTTGATGCAGGACTGCCAGTGCGAGGATGTACTTCTTAATTTCTTACAAGATTTTACTAATGTGAATACAGAAATTGATCACAAAATTGTGGATTCTTAGGGTTATAGTCTACTGCTAAAATTAAATGAGTGGAAGAAATTAGATCTTTGAATTAGGTTATTATTTGTGCACTGCTTTATTGTCTAATCTGAGGATTTTTTTTTAAATTAGTTAATGATAAAATATTTTACCAAATGGAAAGTAATAGTTAATTTTCGTAATGCTAACATCCTTTGCATTTCAAAGAGCAGGGCAAATGTATGACATTTTTCCCTAGATAACAATGAAAACTAGAAACAGACTGTACAGAATGTAAATAGCGGTGCCTGCACTGATGTGTTCAGTACTGAAGGGTATAGATTTTTTTTAAATAAGTTGTTTTACTCCTCTGGGATATAGCCCTTCTGAGCCTGAAGTTACAATATATTATAATTATTCTTCATAGTATACTGCTTCACAATATGTTGATGCGTCACATTGTGCAGCGCTTGGGAGATTTTGACGGCAACTTGAGCCAGCAAACAGCTGACCTTTGGCGATGGTATCTCAAGGCGCCTAAGCAGACAGACACCTTATTTTGAGAATCACATCACCATCAGAGCACTTGTTTCACAGTTTACATGCGCAGACACTTAATGCACAAAATCGCACCACTTTTACATATCAAAGTTCACTTCAAACCATTATTTAAACAATAATACGGGAGCTGCAAACCGCCGCCGGTCAAGTTCCCGCCAAAACTCCTGAAGGGTATAGAGAGGCTGTATTAGTACAGACTGTGAGGTATTTAATCTTAGTCTTCAGTGGTGACAACGTATTGTTTGAAGTCGTAAGACTAAAACCACAGCAGCCACTTACCATCAGGTGGACTGTAGGTTTGTTAGTTACTTTAGTTTTATAAAGAAACTAAATACTGAATCTACGATTTCTTTACCAGCTTTAATATAATGTGTAAGTCATGTATACAGTAGGAGTCCATAAGAGCATACAAAGGTTATATGAACTTTACCATGAAAGGTCATTTAAACCTAGCGTCGAATTTAGGGAATATGTAAAAAAATATTCAAAAATATTTAAAAGTGTGTGCTACACAGCCCAGTCTTTACATTTGAGCAACAAAATTATGTCGGCTTCTAATAAAATTAAAATAACGTGGAGTATAATTAATAGTGAAACGGGTAAGGCCAACTCACAATTCTAACTACTGGTAAAGTTTTAACAACAAATTAAGTGAGTCAGATCAGGATGTTGCAATGGTTTTTGAGAAATATTTTATTGATATTCCGATCTTAACCACTAAGTCACTGAATTCTTCTCCTGCTGTCGCCGAATCATTACTTAAACAAAATGTAAATGCGTGTACAAAGAATTTTACATTTCATAAAATATCATCAAAAGATATTTAAAAATATTTTAAAACTATTGATATTAAGAAACCTGTAGATCTATGGGGGATTTCCGTTAAAGTTATTGTGTCTATAATAGATATAATAGCGCCTAAACTAGCCATTATTTTTAATACTAATATCGAATATGGTATGTTTCCTGATTTAATGAGGCATAATAAAGTAATACCTTCATTTAAATCTGGTAGTACATTAGCCCTGCCGATTTTAGACCAATTACTGTACTGCCAACACTTAGTAAGGTTTTTGAAGAATTATTCTTGATCAAATGTTTTTTTTTTTTTATGAAAATAGTTTACTTCATTAAAATCAATTCAGTTTCAAAGGGGTCGCTCGACAACTGATGCTGGTGTTGAACTGATTAAATATATTTTCAACGCATGGGAGAATTCACAGGATGCTTTGTATATATTTTGTGTCCTATCCAAAGCCTTCGATTGTATCCACCATGAAACATTAATCAGGAAACTACAACACTATGGTGTAAGAAGTAAAGTAAAGTAAAGTTGCAGCCTATTTACGTCCCACTGCTGGGCACAGGCCTCCTCTCATTTTTGAGAGGGTTTTAGGGCACGGAAATGTCCGCCGCGCTGCCCCAATGCGTGTTGGCGAACTTCACATGTCTTCGAAATATTTTTTTTTTCTTATTTCTCAGACATGCAGGTTTCCTCACGATGTTTTCCTTCGCCGCCGAGGACGTGGTAAATCAGAACTTAAAATTGCAATTAACAATTTCATTGGTGCCGGCGGGGATCGAACTCGGGTTGCTCGAATACTGTGAAGCTTACAGCGAGCGCTAACCATCTGAGCTACCACGGCTCTAAGATGTAATGCTATTAAATAAATTGTTTCATATTTCAGTAAAAGAACGGAAAAAGTTGTCATTAATAGTATGAGCTCTTCCGGGTCTATAGTACAAATGGGCGTGCCTCAAGGCTCAATTCTCGGCCCCTTTCTGTTTCTTGCATATATTACTGACTTGCCTTACATAGTAAGGAATAACCATAATATAATATTGTTTGCTGATGACAGTTCACTGAATTTCAAATTAAAACGACTATTATTAAAATATGACGAAGTAAATAATGCTATATCTAAATTAGTAAATTGGTTTAATGTTAATAACTTGCATTTAAACGGCACTAAAACGAAATGAATAGAATTCATGACTCCAAATGTGAAACAATTAAATACTAATGTAATTTTAAATGCGGAGGAACTTAGTCTTGTCGATACCACAATTTTTCTTGGAATAACACTAGACGCGAAGCTTCAATGAAAACCCCATATATCAAAATTACCAAGCAGACTTAGTTTTGCAGCATATGCTGTAAAAAAGATTAGAAATGTTATCAGTGTGGAAAGAGCTAGACTTGTTTACTTTAGCTATTCCCATAGCATAATATTGTATGGTATTTTACTATGGGGACTCGCGACTGACACTGAAATTATATTTGTTTTACAGAAGAGGGCCATAAGAGCAATCTATGATTTAAACCTAAAGAGTCGCTTCGTAACTTTGGCCTCTCAGTACATTTATGAAAATGTAATGTACGTACACAAAAATAAAAGTAGTTTTATAAAAATAAGTGATAATCATTCTGTAAATACTAGGAACAGACACAAGCTTGTAGTACCAGTTACTCGACTCCACAGTCACTCAGTAATTCATTATTGGGGCGATGTATACGCTTTTACAACGAAATCCCAGAAAATATACAAAATTTGACATTGTTGAAAGTTCAAAAACTTTTTTTTTATAGGATAAGGGTGACAAACGAGCACACAGTCCACCTGATGGTAAGTGGTTGCTGCGGCCCATAACCATCTACATCTATCCTCTATTACAAATCAAAATGTAGATGCGTTGTCACCCGTGAGGACTAAGATGGAATGCCTCATATAATTAAACAGTTTGTATAAAAAGGGTCATTATAATGTTAAGGAATTTATGGATAATAATAACCCCTGGGAATGAGGTGATCGCTACCAAGCTATTTCTAATTTGTTTTGTGTGGTTAATTGTGATTACATGATTGTAAGCTGTTATTTAAAAAAAAGTCCTGCTGGGTTTCTTGCTGGTGGTAATTAAACAAAAGAGTGACTTTTAATAAATATAAATAATTATAATCTATATTGAATAAAAAAGTTTCTTTTTCTATAAGATAACATTTTAGAAGTCTAGAGTTTTACAAGTATTTCACGTGTTTTATAACATCAGATCTGACAAAACTAAGTGTTAACACTTACTGTTTGTATATAAAACTTTGTAAAAGGATTGTGAGGAGTTTTCTACTATTTTTACTTAGAACTCACTGTCGCTCTAAGCTGTGTTAATGCTTTATATATTTTTATGGTCTTTTTGAAGTGAAAATATTCTTTAGAATCGTTGTGATTTGAAACTGATGAAACGAAAAAGCGACACTAAAAATAGACAAATATATACATCTATAGGATTTAGCGAGAATAAGATAGAAATACAGGATTAAGTGTTTCACTTCTACCGCGTGTGGACTGTACACGTCTTTTTTGGTCAGCCTATTAAAGTCCACTGCTGACACAGGTCCCTCCTATAGATTGCCATAGCTACCACGCTTGGCAGACGGGTCACCATTCGTAATTTTTTTATGATTTTGAGTTATTAATTGTTATCAGGAAGATGCTGCTGTTTTAGTTTACCTCTATCGCCACTTACTGACACCCACGGTACCACATGGGTTAGTGGATTTTCTTACATCGCCACTGTACGGTTTTTTAAGATCCTTAGAAATTTACCTAAAATAAGTTGCCAGCATCTGTTTTTCAATGCGATTACAACGTGGGCGCCTTCAAGGCAAAAGAATAAATGTAAGTATGGAATAGTTTTCTTTTGATTTTGCATTCCTTACTTTTTCATAATATACAAATCCACACGACAGTGGAGTGTTACTATGCCTGCCGTAAGGCCCACAATTGCGACAGAGAGCGCAAAGCGCAACAAGTGACGCGGCGTTCTGTTTTCCAATTTTATTGCACCGTGGTCAGCGAGTGTTTAACATTAATATAGTACTAGTGATTTTTGGCGGGAACTTGACCGCGCGCGCTTTGCTGTTCTTGTACTATTGCTTAAATAGTGGTTTGAAGTGGATTTTGATATCTAAAAGTGGTTTAATTTTGTTGTATTAAATGTTTGCGCATGTGAACTATTATTGGAAACGGTGAAACAAGTGCTCATATGGTGATGTGAATGTCACGATATAGTGTCCGAATGTTTAAGTGGCTTGAGATGCTATCGCCAACTGTTTGCTGACTCAAGTTGTCGTCAAAATCTCTCAAAATGTACGCAATGTGATGCATCAACATATTGTGAAGCAGTGTAGGTGCTATAAAGTACTATTATCACTTGATACTGAGATAAATGAAGACATGGCTTAAAGGACAAGCATCCAAGTCACAAATTCTATAATAATAAAAAAACACATTAGTATAGTACTAGCGAGTGGGTACGTACCGGGCATCGTGGGGTGCATGTGCTGCGGCGGGGGCACGTGCGCGTGCGCGGCCGCGGGCGCGGCGGGTGCGGCGGGCTGTGGCCCCACCAGCGGGCCCCCGCTGCCGCGTCCCGCGCCCGCCGCCACCCCGCCGCCGCCCGCCATCTGCTGGCTATTCGAGTAGTAGTCTGCGGGCGAACGACACAGGCCGTTAACACCAATCATGTTTATATTATTTAAAAAAGGTATAGATACGCTACCAAATAATAAATAATAGTGTAGTCTGTTCACTAAGACATTGTCGGTACACCCGGAGGCGAACTTATTATTTTGCTCTTACTTTATTATTTTTATTGTGTTTGTTAAATAAATGACATTTGAAGTCATGATTTTCATACATTTCGTTTTAGTGCCATTTAAATGCAAATTATTAACATTAAACCAATTTACTAATTTACATATAGCATTATTTACTTCGTATATTTTAGTGGTTGTCGTTTTAATTTAAAAATTAATGAAGTACTATCACCAAATACTATATCATGGTTATGCCCTACTATGTAAAGTTGAAGTTACAGCCTAACTACGTCCCACTGCTGGACACAGGCCTCTTCTCATTTCTGAGAGGGTTTTAGGGCAAGAAAGTTAATGTCCACCGCGCTGCCCCAATACGATCGAATCCGGGTTGCTCACGTACTGTGAAATTTACAGCGAGTACTAATCATCTAAGCCAGCAAAGCTCTCTATATAAACTAAGTCATTAATATATACAAAAAACAAAGGAACCGACAATTGACCCTATAAAATATCGGTTACAAAAATTTAAGATAAGAAAAAAGCTCTAAACCGGATGTATAATTTTAAGTAATATATTAACAAGAAGTGATAAAATTAACATTCTTTAATATTTTTTATAAATTATTTGCTGGTTTTTTTCCATTATTATGTTATGGCCTGGCTCGGCTGGGCTAGGACCACGCTAGAAAAGCAAATTATATACAACTAGCTGTGCCCCGCGGTTTCACCCGCGTATATCACGCATCTGCGGCTTGCGACATGCGAACTTCGAGAGAGACATCACGACGGACGGTTGCTGAATTAACAAAGATTTAAAAAGTGAAATATGTTACTAAATTACATAGTTAACGTAATTGGTGGTTCAGGTACTGATAAGAATAATGTCTAGGCCACATTATTCGTATCAGTACGTACTCGTATTAGTAGTATTTGTACCGGCGTTACTATTTCACATTATAACATGAAAATAACTGTAATAGTTAAACATATGGTATCGAAGACTTTTTTGTAGAGATTAATATCCTCTATAAAAGTGAAGTACATTACTTTGCTCTATTATCAATAGTTTCCGAAGCATACGCGATATAAAGATTCTTTTTGGTATTTTTTTCACACCTTGGGTTACATTAACGAAGTTTTCATACGGATCCCTAACTTTTTTGAAAATATTACATAGCCTATGTTCATCAGGAATAATGTAGGATTCTAATGGTGAAAGAATTTTTCAAATCGGTCCAGTAGTTTCGGAGCCTATTCAATTCAAACAAACAGGTGCAGGTGGCCGGAGGCCCTTTTTACTGGAAATGAGGCATTCCATCTTATCCTCACGGGTGAAAACGCATCTGCATTTAGATTCGCAAAAGAGGATAGTTGTAGATGTCTATGGGCCGCAGCAATCACTTACCATCAGGTGGACTGTGTGCTCGTTTGTCACCCTTATCCTATAAAAAAAAAAGTCTTCAGAGCTACCAGCCCTACATATTGATTTTTAATGGAGGATAAATGTGGATGTCAATAGACCACATACACATTTTTTTAAATTATTTTTGTAGGATAAGGATGACAAACGTGCACACAGTCCACCTGATGGTAAGTGGTTGTGGTGGCCCATTGTCATCTACATTCATCCTCGATTACGATAATCAAAATGCAAATGCGTCGTCACCCGTGGGGACTAAGATGGATGCCTCGTTTCCAGTAAAAAGGGTCTCCGGTTATCTACACTAACCATACGAAACACAGTAGCGTTAAGCTGCTATTTTACGCTGGTATTCTGTAAGAGAGTGGTCCTTCCCCGCTCGAGCCGACCCACTCGTGTTACAACTGTACTACTAATATAGCTGCAGCATGGCTCTACCACCTAAAACATACCATCAGGTAGACTGTGTGCTCGTTAATCTTTTTCTATGATAAAATAAATAATTTTTGAGTAACAAACAATCTCAGGACAAAATCGAACGGCACAGGTATGAGACGCTTGAGATTATTTACGGAGCCCTATCATTTAAAGTCCCTCTGCCATATCCTAGCTTCTCATAGTAGAAGGTTGAAATTAGTGAGCGCTTATGTTTGCATGTAAACTAGAAGTTTTCACCTGTCTTAAAACGAATGACGTGTATCATGTATATCATATGTATGTGGTTTTACTTCACTCGAGTTATACTATTTACTTATAATAATTTACTTGATGCAAAATGACCACTAAAGTACATATACAAACACAACTTATTTATAAAATCAACAAGAAACTGTTAACATTAAGGATAAATATAAAAATATTTATAGCCACCAATCTTATATTTTTATAGGTGGGATAACTACTGGAAATTCCAAACAATATCAAATGCAATTTAATGGTCTAAATAAATGCACAGTAAAATTTTTGCTTACGTATTTGATTTAATTAATATTTGATGTTTTTTTAACATTGATTTAGATTTTGACTTTGCTCCCCGTCAAAATCAAAAACAAAATCTTAAGTTTAGTATATACTGCTACTATACTTTAGTACTACTTCAATTAAATTAATTGGCACAGTCCATATAATACTTACATGGTGGTGTGTGACTTGTTGGTGTGCTATAACCCAAATACGGTGTCATGTATGGATAAAACCTGAGAAAGATAAAAATAAAATAGTTTTAATGAATAAAGTACGTCGTAAGAGACGACAGAGGGGAAAATATAACAGGAGATGGGCAACAGCATCTTTGTGATAACAACTCCAAATAATAAATAATGCTTGTCAAACGTGGCAACAATGGCAAAATCCCCCAATGAGGTACTCTCAGGCCTCAGAGAGGCCTATGTTCAGCAGTGGACATTTATAGGGTATAATTGTAGATATATTAAGTTATTAGAAAGTAATTAGAAGTAATTTTGCTGAATATAACATAATTTCCATAGTTAATTATTTTTGTTTATTTTTGTTAAGTTGTACAATATTTTACATAAAAGTCTGGCAGTATTTAAAAGTAATTAGAAGTAATTTTGCTGAATATAACATAATTTCCATAGTTAATTATTTTTGTTTATTTTTGTTAAGTTGTACAATATTTTACATAAAAGTCTGGCAGTATTTAAAAGTAATTAGAAGTAATTTTGCTGAATATAACATAATTTCCATAGTTAATTATTTTTGTTTATTTTTGTTAAGTTGTACAATATTTTACATAAAAGTCTGGCAGTATTTAAAAGTAATTAGAAGTAATTTTGCTGAATATAACATAATTTCCATAGTTAATTATTTTTGTTTATTTTTGTTAAGTTGTATAATATTTTACATAAAAATCTGGCAGTATTTAAAAGTGATTAGAAGACACGATGCTGATTATAACATAATTTTGTTTGTTTATTATTTTTGTTTATTGTTGTTAAGATATATATTTTATTTAAAAATCTGGCACTATTTAAAAGTGATTATAAATCACGTTGCTAAAAATAACGTAATTGTCGTTGTTTATAATTATTGTTTATGTTTGTTAAACTGTAAATTTAACATAAGAGTCTGTCAGTATTTAAAAGAGATTAGAGGTAACGTTGCTCAAAATAACAAAATTTCTAGTGTAGCATTGCAATTTTCGAGTCCTTATTCCAAAACTCACAATGGATCCGTATGTATAAATATAGCCCGAAGGTGTATTACTGTTCTTAGTAGTCATAAACAAAGTAAATTTTCTTGCGAGCAATTCTATTCTAAAGCACTTCTATACTTGGTTATACAGAGCCGAGCAAGACTTCTGTGTGGTGGTTTTAAAATAAAGTTCAACCATGATATTTTACTAATAGATAATAGTTTTAACGGGCGATAGTCATATGATTAATAATTATGAGTTAGAAACAATATGTATAAACTGCCACACAATAAAAGAACCCGAGCAATGTGGAACCGTTTTAACGCAGGCTTACAATTTTAAATTACTTAATTTTAACATAAGAAGCTTAAATAAGAACTTTAATAATTTTGAAACTACCTTAAAGAGATTTGACACAATTTTTGATATAATTATTTTAACTGAGTGCTGGCTTAATGACACCTCAATCATTCCTAAAATAGAGTTTTACACTGCCTGTTATACAAAAACGATAGTTAACCAAAATAGCGGCGTTGTAGTTTACATTAAGGATACATGGAATGCTTCGGTTTTGGAACCCGACCTTAAGGATGCCAACTGCTTGCAAATACAAATTTCAAATTTAATTACCATACTTGCAATATATCGTCCCCCCTCTTTTAAAAATACAAACAATTTCTTGTGTTCTCTTTACTCAATATTAAATACACATACAAACTCTAATACTAATCTTGTAATGGCCGGTGACTTAAATATAGACTTGTTATCCGCATCAAGTAATCAAGATTTAGAATACTTGTGCTTAACAGCAGAACATGGTCTTTTTCCTGCTATAACAAAGCCAACAAGAGCGGAAGCATGTATTGACCATGTCTTTGTAAATAAAACTGAGGGTGCTATTGGTGTAGTCTGTTGTAGTGACATAACTGATCCTGATATTACAATATTAGGTCTATCATTAACTATGCATAACTTAATGATACTAAATCGCGTTAGGCTTAAACACGACATACATGCGATCAGAAAAGAGCTCAATAAAATTGACTGGTCCGAATCATTTGACTCTCATGACCTTAACAAAACAGTTAATACTTTTTGTCTTCGCGTATTTCAAACAATTAGCAAGTACACAAGTAAAGTAACATTAAAACGTAAAGAACATAATATGAAACCTTGGATCACTTCCGGATTAATCCGCTGTATGAGACACAGAGACCGTTTGCACATGCAAACGCGAGAAAATCCACATGACACACTCAAACGAATTATATATACTCGCTATCGTAATTTTTGTAATGACTTATTACGTAAACTCAAAATAGAATACCAAAACAAAACCTTATCTAGTAATTTAAATAATCCAAAAAAATTATGGAGATCAATAAAGGACATTTGCCATTTTTCTGCAAATAAACATGAACCTCACGATTTACTAAAGATTGAAGGGACGACAGACGCTAAGCACTCCTTGGACAAGTGCAATAGCTACTTCTCAACGGTGGGACAAACTCTAGCAAATAGTATTCTACGCGAATTACAAACTGAGGAAAAAAATCTAGCGACAAAAATTTATCCAAAGAATCTTATAACAAACTCACTCTTTATGCACCCTACAGATGAATATGAGTTACATTCCCTTATTCTATCACTGCAAAATGATAAAGCCCCGGGTATTGATGGCCTAAGTAATCCTCTTTTAAAAGAAATTAAAGACATAATCATCCCTCCTCTTACTGCCATATTCAATCTAAGTCTGTCGACTGGTATTTTTCCAGAAAACTGGAAGAAGGCATGCATTAAACCTATTTATAAAAATGGGCCTAAGGACACCCCGCAAAACTACCGTCCTATTTCTTTGCTGACAACATTCTCCAAATTACTTGAGAAGGTGGTTAACAAAAGACTAACAAAGTTCATTGAATCGAATAATTTAATATCACCGAAGCAATTTGGCTTTAGAAGTGGAAAGTCAACAGATGATGCTGTCAACTTGTTAACATCTACAGTAGCCTCCCATTTGGATGCTCATAAAACCAGTATTGCTGTATTTTTGGACCTGTCGAAGGCTTTTGATACAGTCTCGATTCCAATACTCTTAGCGAAGCTGGAATCTCAATTTGGAGTAAGAGGCGTAGCAATTGATTGGTTTCGTAGCTACCTGACGGATAGAAAACAATGCGTTAGAGTCGGTGGCTTCGTCAGTGGTCAGGAAACAATCAATTTTGGAGTACCACAAGGCAGCATCCTTGGACCTACGCTTTTTATTATGTATATAAACGACATATTCGCTAATGTCGAAGGCGAAATAATTTGTTACGCAGACGATACAGTTTTAATATATGAAGGATCCACCTGGCCAGAGGTTTTTGGGAAGGCTGAAGTGGGTATGAGACGAATATCTGCGTGGCTGCGGAATAATCTTCTCACGCTGAACTCATTTAAAACTAACTACATTTGTTTTCACAAAACAGCAATTTCTGCACCTAGCCCAATACTCCAATTAAAACTGCACACCTGTGAACATGGCCGGAAACATTGTAGCTGTGTGGTGTTGACTAAGACTGATGTGGTAAAATACTTAGGTATCTTGATTGATCAAAATTTAAACTTCAAAGATCACATAAGATCTCTTTCAGGACGAGTGAGAAAAATTATTAACATCATGAAACTGCTCCGACACTCAGCATCTATAGAAATTCTCCGGTCTGTATATTTTGCCCTATGTCAGTCCTTGATCACTTATTGCTTAACATCCTGGGGTAGTGCCGCAAAAACACATATTATACAACTAGAAAGAGCCCAACGATCAGTTCTTAAAACTATGCTAAAGAAACCCTTTAGATATCCAACAGATAGATTGCATCAGGAAAGTAAAGTCCTTACTGTGCGTCAATTATACATTTTAAAATTAGCTCTCAAAGTCCATCAATCTGTAATTACATGCAAAGACTACAAAAAATTACTCAAACGAAGAGTATTCAAGGTCTCCTTACCCAAAACCAATTTGTATTTTGCCAGACGTTTCAGTCCCTAGATAGATTCGGTAATTTACAATAAAGTAGTCAGCGCTTGCGATATAAAACATTGCTCTGTAAAAGAAGCTAAAACAAAAATTGTTTCCTGGCTCGCTTCTTTAAATTATGACTCGACCGAAAAAATATTCTTACACCTAGCATAAAGGCAACTACCATTTTTATTAAGAAATGCAACGTTTTACTCTATCTCTTATTATTCTTTGTTCATTTTATACTAGTTTTTAAAATTTTAATTTTGTGATTAAGTAAACCAAGCGAAAACTAAACATAAATAGTCAATGCTAAATAGGTACCCACGATACAGGATTACCTAGTGTGGGTACCAACGGATACTTCAATGAGTTGTAGTTGTTTTCTGTAAAATAAACATTTTTCATTTTCATTTTCATTTTTCATTAATAAAATAGTTTTTATAAAAACCTAATAAATCAAGGACACATCGCACAATATACTGTATATGGAATGAATTCTACTGCTGACAAATCTGCCGTAACCTAGTAGGAAGGAAAAAAAACTAGAAATGCATTTAACTGAAATTTGATCTCCGACTGTCAGTGCCACGTGTATGGTCAATTTTAAAAAAGGAAGGCGTAGGACGATCAATTGGGACTTCTGGCTGATGTGAGTTAAAACCGATACTAACCTTGCAAATAAGAATCTATTTTATCGTACGTACAAAAAAAATATAAAATAGCGAAAATTTCAGTATTATAAGTAGCTATAAAAAAATTGTGTGAGTGAGTTTTAATACCTTTTGGCAGTATGATATCAGATATTTACCCAGTGGTGGAAGAGCGTGGCTGCTGGTAAGTCTGTGGTAGGCCCATATGGGGCTGGAAGACCAATGTGGGGTGATGATACACCACCGGGCCAGCCGTTCCACCACCAGCGCCTGCTAAGTATGGCTGTTGTTGTCTGTGGAAGAACAGTAAGTTTAAATTAGTAACAAACAATAATTAAAGACTATATATATAAGAATAAAATAATAGGTCTTTCCCTATGAAATTTCAAACAAAATAATTTTTGTTTGGCTAAGAATTCTAATTTCAAATTAATTTTTATTTTAAAAACATGGAATTCTTTTTTCAAAATTAGTCATTTGTTTATTGATTAGTGTTACGTTTTCATCGCATTTGAATATCTTTCGTCATCATGGATACGTAAAAAATTCGAGTAATAGAATATGAGTGCCGTTGTGGCAGCAACGCGGTACAAGCGGCACGCAACATCAATGACGTTTACGGAGCGAATACTACAAACGAACACACCACTTGTTATTGGTTTGCTCACTTCCGTCCTGGAAATTACGACCTGAAAAATGAACCCCGTGGTCGTCAGAAAACTTTGGTTGACAATGACGAATGAGGAAACTGAATCTACGACTGAATTAGCAGCAGCTTTCGACGTTAGCATCCAAACAATATTGGTCCATTTGTGTTAAATTGGCAAGGTAAAAAGGCTTGGCAAATGGGTGCCCCACGAACTCTGATGATAGCCAGCGTGAAGTACGCGTCAAGTCGTTCCTTGCTGTGCTGAATAGGCACACAAACAAAGGAATTTTGAACCACATTGTTACCTGCGATGAAAAATAGATTCTGTTTGACAATCCCAAGCGCTCAGCAAGTTGGTTGGTTCAGCACCTAAACAATGCTCTAAACGAAAACTTCCCCTAGAAAAGTGATGGTCACTATTTGGTGGTCTAGCGCCGGTGTGTTCATCACCAAACTCGTACCAAACGGGATGATCATTCCTGCACATGTGTACTGTAAATTACTGAATGCAATAATGGAGAAGCTCGTACGTCTCCAACCAGCTTTGGTCAATCGCTAGTCCCCGCTGCTCCTGCACGACAACGCGCCGGTTTCCAAATTAAAAGAGCTCGTGTTGGAAGCTCTCCGTCATTCGCCGTACCGTACTCACCAGACCTTGCGCCTACAGACTTCTACTTTTACCAGGATTTGGATAACTTTTTGGCGGGAAAAAATTCAATACCCAAGAGGCAGTACCAAATACCTTAAAAGAATTTGTCCAGCTGATTTGTACAAGGGCATCAATAAACTGCCACTACGTTGGCAAAGATGCATCAATTGCATTGGTGATTACTTTGATTAATAGAAATACAAAATAAAGAAAAACATATGAGTGTCGTAGAACACTCGGAACGCAGTTTCTTTCGTTAGTATATTATTATTACAATACAATACAAACACTCACGCCTGTCACCCAGAGGGGTAGGCAGAGACTGCGGACTTCCATTTGGCGCGATCCTGACACACCTCTCTCGCCTCGCCTCCTTTACATCCATATATCTACGCATACACGCTTGTCGGTAAGGGTACTCCTAATCTGGCCCATTTTTAATGTATCGCCGATTTGGTCGATAAACCTTCGTCTGGGGCGTCCCTTCCCGACCCTGCCGGGGGGATGAGTCGCTCTCGTCCGTAGGCTTCGACCACCTAATCCTAGGCCCACCCTACACGTGTCCCCCGGGTGGTGGTAAACCAACGACAAAACCGATAGGATAGACTCGGCTCCTCGCCGTATGGTAGCGGCGTTAAATCTACCACCCCTTAGTTCGCACCATGAGCCAAGAAATAAAAATATATTATTATTGATAAACATATTATATTATTGATTAACAAATACAAATAAATGAATTACTAGCGTCTATAAAAATGAAGCGTCGTTCGTAGGTAAAGACCTAATAGAATAATTTTTATTCATTACAGATTACCAAAATACTTGCAACTGGTTCGCATAAAACATGTTGGGAAGAACCAGCAAGAAATCCAACAGGCCTATTTCTTTATACAATAAAACTTTCAATATAAAATCTTGCACAATTAAATAGGAAAACATTTTGAAACAGCATGGTAGCCATGACCTCATTCCCTATAAGTTTGTACTCTTTAGTTGTATAAGAATTAATAAACCATATTAAAAAATTTTTGCTCCATAATTTCTTTTAATTTTTACTTGACAAATTCTGCATATTTTCTGGGACTAGAGTAAGTCACAGTATAGCACGATATCTACGATACATTCTGGCATTATTTTATAATTTTCATTTCGGTGACGTTAACACCATTTTGTAAGTTTGTGCGGCAGAATCGGACGTAATTATTGGCTGTGTTATACACAACAAATACGTCTCTCTATAATATCTAAGCTGTAGAAAAAAACAATTTACTAGACAGTAGCAAGATTGACTGCTAAAAGTAAAAGATTGTGAAGTAATAAATATTGTTTAACAAATTGAGGGAAGATGCAACTAAGTGTTTCAATGTCAACGAAAACAGAGGGGTGATATATTATTATGTTTGTATTGTGTATATGTGTACCATTGTCAGTTTTGTGGCACCATAGCTCTTAAACGGATGAACCGATTTTGTTTAAGATTTTTTCATTTGAATGGTGTCTTAATCGAGTGTTCTTAGCTATGTTGTATATATATATATATATATATATATATATATATATATATATATATATATAAATTTGTTACGCGTTTTTTTTTAACTTAAGTTATAACATTATTAGAACAAAGAAACATCTTGAAACAATACTACCCTGCACACAGTTGCGTAAAAGTACACACTCCAAACATTGACATTGTAGTAAAATTAAAAATTTTGTACCACCGACTACAATATAAATAAAATGAGAACATCACCAATGTAGTCGAAGTCAAGTCAAATTTATATGGCACCAGACGCGAACGCAGTACCTATGAAATTGCCGTCTTTAATGAAATAAGTTAATGTAATTTTTTTTGTTTTATTCATCAAAGTATTCACCCATGCAATCGATGCATCGTTGCCAAGACAGTGGCAGTTTATCGATGATTTTTGAATAAATCAACTGGACGGGAGGCAATAAATTCTTCAGACATTTTGTACTGCCTCTTGGGTATTGAATTTTTTTTCGACATAAAATTATCTAAATTCTGGAAAAAGTGGAAGTCTGTAGGCGCAAGGTCTAGTGAGTACGGCGGATGATGGAGAGCTTCCAACCCGAGCTCTTTTAACTTTGAGACCGTCTGTTGTGGAGTATGAGGTGGCGCGTTGTCGTACAGGAGCAGCGGGGACGAGCGATTGACCAAAGTTCATTGGAAACGTGCGTGCTTCTCCATCATTGTGTTCAGTTCTTCACAGTACACATGTGCAATAATGATCATCCCGTTTGGTAAGAAGGTGTGATGAATCACACCGGCGCTAGACGACCAAACAGTGACATCACTTTGCTAGGGGATAGTTTTCGTTTAGGGCAATATTTAGATACTGAACCAGGATCTAATCAATTTGATAAGCGCTTGCGATTGTCAAACAGAATCCATTTCTCGTTGCAGTTAACAATGCGGTTCAAAATTCCTTCGTTTGTGTGCCTTTTGAGAAATGCAAAACACGTCTCGACGCCTACTGCGCGCTTACGATTATTGGGTTCGTGGGGCACCCATTTATAAAGCTTTTTTACATTACCAATTTGACGCAAACGGACCAATATTGTGTTGATGCTAACGTCGAAAGCTGCTGGTAATTCAGCCGTATATTGAGTATCATCAGCTTTCATAATCGTATTTAATTCGTTATTGTCGACCAGTTTTCGGACGACCACAAGGTTCAATTTTCCAGAAAGTAGCAGGAAACCAATAATAGGTATGCATTCGTTTGTAGTATTCGCTCCGTAAACGTTTGTTGATGTTGTGTGCCGCTTGTGCCCCGTTGCTGCCATGACGGTACTCATATTCCATAATTACACGAATTTTTAACGTATATAATAAGATTCAAATGCGATGAAAACATACGCTAATCAATAAACAAATAACTAATTTTGAAAAACGAATTCCATGTTTTTAAAATTGAGCCAAACAAAAATTATTTTTATTTGAAATGGCCAGTACTGCAGAACACCAATTTCATAGGTAAAAACCTATTACTACTAAAGAGTACATGAGTGATAATAACCCCTGGGAATGAGGTGATAGAATACAATAGAATAGAATAATTTTTTATTCAATATACATTACATGTGTAATTCTTATTGAAAGTCATTTTTTACTTTACCACTGGTTCGAAAAAAAATACCCTCTGTCCTGGGAAGAACCAGCAACAAACCCAGCATGATCGCTACCATACTGAATTTTACAACATATTATATTGTAAATTAATGATTAAAAAAAGAGCTGGGTTTCTAGCTGGTTCTTATTTCCGAACCTCTCTAGTAACTTATATTTTAAAAAAAATATTCTATTCTATTCTGCATCGTCATTCCGTAACATTGGTGCATGTGATGCAATTCCAAAGTTTTAGATTGAATTACCTACAAATTTCGCAGTTGGTATATTCAGGTGTCTAAAATAATTGGTCCCATTGCATAAAATCCATACCGATAATTAATTCCTCTGTATGGGCGTGCTAAGCATTTTATTTTAGGATATAACTCCGATGGTGAGGGAAATGGAGGATTTTTTTTGAACTGTGGCCACGTCACTGTCTAAAATGATGAAGCTGATATTATTTATTATGTATATCCAAAAACTAGCTGTATTACTTTCAAGTTAATTAATAACAAATTGTAATAGATAAATTTAGTACAGAATAAACACTTCAGTAACTAAAAGGCTCATGTTATCTGAATATCGCTTTCATAAAGCCTACTTATATTAAAAACAAATATATCTCAAAAGACCATCAACGCCAGGTATAAGCTTTTTTGTAAGAGGCTTACTGCAAAATAAGGCCTTTTATGATATTTTATATACAGACAATTGCAGCCTTGACATAATTTATAATTATATTTTATACAAACATACATACCTCTTTCATACTGGCCGCCTACAATTTTCTTTTAAGTTTCTTACTTTGACTTTGAGAGAACAATTATTAAGATTTTGATTAATGTTCTATTTCTCAAGTTTATCCAAATATTTTAGATCAGAACTTTGTTTTTTTTTTCTAATGCCGTACAAAGCTTTGTCGCCAAGGTACTAATTGTTAAAACAAGTCACACGTCTCACCACCATAAGTAGGCATAAATAACTAACACATTTAGGGGTTATTGTATTGTATATGTTATGATTTTTATCGTATGAATGTTTAGGAAATTAATCTCTAAACGTCACTCTGTTTTAATCGAAGGACTTACATAGAGAGGAATAAAAGTAATGAATGGAAATTCGCTCGCTACACCTCACAAAGCGTGACAAAAGCACTTATCGCTCAAAGCATGGCGGTGTACATTCAACCGTCAATTCTCTTGTGGTGCTATGTATGATGAAAAAGCATATGAAATTATATTGTATTGTCATGTGTTTATGGCTCAAAAAAGAAAGAAGAATTTTTAAATTCACAATGTTTCACGGCTCGTGTAGATGGTTTTTATAAAACTCTATTTCACTTACAAAAAGTAAGCGACGGACCGTTCGTCTTCGGCACCTTAAAGGAGGTAAGAAAGAAATGATGCTGTTACGTATTCAGCGGTAACACTTTTATCACTATTTAATACGCAAATGGAAACATACCAGCGCATAAATACCGGTTTTCGCTCACCAATCGGCCTAGTTGGTATGTAAAATCTTTTGAGTATGTATGCAATTTGACGCATTATTGAAAAGAAACTAACTAACCAATATTTTCAAGTCTCTGTTTTTTTTTTCATTAATTTAGTGCTACCTATCAAAGTAACACTGCTGAAACTATGTTCAGCCTCCTTCTAGGGTCCTACGACCCTCCATAGATTTTATTAAAACACTAGAATTTACTCCTGTATTGTATAGGCAGTTTACATACATAAACTTCACAGATATTTTCCACCAATTTAGAATTGTCACTTAGCATAAGGTGGGATAGTTTTTAAGTACTGGCTTAGAGCAGTTAAAAAAAACGCACCTGGGATGTGTGTTTGGGCGGGTTCCGTGCTGCGCTCTGTAGGGGAAGTTCGGATACTGCGGCCGTGCTTGCGGACTCTGACTCTGCTGCGAGACGTAATTATGGCCGGCCTGCAATTATATTTAAAGAATGATTAGTCTTAGTTATTTATAGAAAGATTTCGTTAATAGTTCAGGTTTAGACTTCACATCATCATCATCATCATTACAGCCCTTCACAAGTCCACTGCTGAACATAGGCCTCCCCCAAAGAATGCCACAAAGCACGGTCCTGAGCCACCTGCATCCATCGACTTCCTGCATATCTTATATCTTATACTTCACACTACAGAGGATTTATAATGACCACCGAATGTGGCAAATGGATTGACGATCATAGCACCAGACGTCTCCCATACTGCCGTTCTTCTTCACCGACCTGGTATTTTACATCTAGTTTAAAGGAGAAGATGTGAATTGAAGATGAAAATTCCCATTTTTTCAAATGATTTGCTCTTAAGACACTCAAGGCACGAGATAGAGTGATGGATTCACACAACAAGTAGCTAGGTCGTTTCACACGTGGTAGAGCCAAGCTGCAACTATATTTTGGTTGTTGTACGAAGGAAACGACTCGACCGGGCAAGGGCCACGCTCTCACAGGTAGAAATAACAGCATTAAGCTGCTGTGTTTTAGTGTGGTGACTGTGGAGAACTAGAGAGCCTTTTTAATATAAACGAGGCATTTCATCTTATTTCTCAGCGGTGACAACACACCTGCTTATTGATGCTTCTTCTAGGATCGATATGTAAATGTCTATGGCCACAGCATTCACTTACTATCAGGTGGACTGTGTGATCGTTTATCACCCTTATTCTATTAAAAAAAACGGTTTATATTTTTATATGGCTTTCATGTCTTTAGAATTTATTATCAACATCAGTACAGCCCTTCACAAGTCCGCTGCTAAAGTTAAACAGTCTTAAAACATGAACGAAAACCTATATACATGAATTTCTTGCATGTCTTACCCGGTCGACACTACTTGTACAATATATGTATATACAATGGGTCTACATTTTGCTTACAAGTACGGAGCTTGGCACTGGAAAATCTTTATACTCACTCGGTTATTGTTCTTCGAGCTATACAGGGTTATTTTTCAAAGGGTAGCTAAATTTTAAACTTAAGTTCAAAACTATAAATAATGATATACCGTTACTGCATTTTTTGGAAATACGAGTAAATAAGGCTTCTACTTTTATTTGAAATTATCACAGAACGAATGTGATTTATGGGCAACTGCTGCGCGTACGCGGGCTTCTCTGTGTGCGATTCAATTCACGTTTTGCCGACCGATCGATCCTTACGAATACGAATGTGTGCGTATGTAGTGAAATAGTAGGCGTGACAATCAGTTAAAAGAATGCATTACCACGCATTTTGAAATTAAAGGATAAAAAGGAGAAAATATTTGAGATATTTTTAGTTAATTTTTCTTCGGCATTTGCCTATTCTGAAGCTTCTCTGCAAATTTGGCCGATTATTGCAAAATAACCTAAATAGTTTCAATGACTTTTACAAAGTTTAAAATTTTAAAGTACAGCAGTTTTCGGAAGAACAAGAAATCGTACCGCAAAAAACAGCTGTACTGCCACCTTCTGACAAATTAGTTTTAAAAGAGTATTATTTATTTGTATATTCGTCTTTTAAACCGCGTAGCAGTGTTAGCGGTGTGCATTAGTCAATAACTGCCTAATTCTTCGGCAATTGAACTACAATACAAGGAAACGATAATAACTCAATCGACTTTAATTTTTCTCACGTTTATATATATTAAAGTCCACTGCTACATATAGGCCTCCTCTATTATTACCTCATAGGGGGAAATTTGCCATATTTGTCACGCTTGGCAAGCGGGTTGGCAAACGCAGTTTTTTATTTATTAGTATTAGGAGACATCTCTTGATTTGTTTCCCTCGGTCGCCTCTTACGACACCCGCGGGATGATATGTGGTAGTGGATATTCTTACACCGTCTCTACGTGGCATTCTTGCATAATACACTCGTATTAAAAGCCAACTACATAATATGTTCATTTTATAAACGACATTACAATCTAAACGCAATTTACACGTTACATAATTTACACGATTATGTGTTTTATTGTTTTCATATTATGTACTGATATTAGAATTAGAATATACACAACCAATATTGTCCCGAGAGTGTCGTAAGAGGCGACAGAGGGAAAATGAAACAGGAAATGGGCAACAGCATCTTCCTGACACCTCAAAATAATAAAAAAAAAGACTAATAAAAATCATGACAACTATAGCCAATGTCCTCAAATGAAGCACTCGTGTGGAGAACTACGTTCAGCGGACTTGGATATAATAATGACGATGAAGATGAATCTTCGTAATTTATAACCCGAGTGGTTATAACAGATTCTCTTAGCACATCTAATAGCATCAGATGTTCACAGTGAGATGTTGCCACGTCAGCAACAACAAGCTCTCAATGGAAGTATTCTAATAAGGTTACACCATTTTTCAAATAGTGTTTTAAATGAAAACTACAGTGAAAGTGAACCACTCTAATTTTTATAGAATTGTTTTTTTAAATTATATAAATTGCCATAAAATTACTTTTAATTTATCGTCTTAAATTTTCGCGCGAAAACGCTAGCCGCCATGCTGTTAAGCTCGTGACGTCACTGCCCTATGATTTGCCGATTTTGCAAAGGAATAAGATATTTTATTGAGTTATCATCTTTATCTTTGGTGGGTTGTTCCGTGTTAGAATACGAGCATGAGGACGCCGGAGAAGTTATGGATTCAAGTGCCAGCTGATTTAAATAGGAGAAATATCTGAAAATTTTTCGAAATAACAAACAGCACATTAGCTAATTTACTTAACCAGTGACTTGACGACGGAATCTAATAAGGCGGATAGCGTTTTGGAGATTTGAGGCACAGTTAAAAAATCATAAATAAATAAAAAATATGTATTTCTATGAATAGAAACCAATAGTTCTCGTTTACTTTTTACAAAACCTGTTATAAATGTATAAATATATATATATACTAGCTCTGACCAGGCAGACGTTGTTCTGCCCTCTCCGACTACCCTGTGTCCTATAAAAATTATTAAATTCGTAATAAAAAATATTGAGGGGCACTTATAGGGATAAGCAAACTGCACATAGCGTGCAAAATTTCATTACAATCAGTTTAGTAGTTTAGGAATTCATCGCGGACAAACAATGTGACACGTAATTTTTATATAATAAAGAAAAGATTATACATGGTGTAAAATACCCTATGGGTACACAGACGAATGCCCACTTAGAAACATGCTAACCTCCGGTATTGATTTTACGCTGAGTACATAATATACACGGGACAAGGACACGTCTTTGTTCAAGGAGATACGAGAGCCGCTATTCGCATTATGGAAACAATCGATAATAATTATAACCTTTTTACAAAAAGTAAAAGCGGACTTTAAATTTTTCTCCAAATTTATATCGGACCCCCCCCCCCCGCATCCTCACTTAAAGTATATCTTATTGAATAAAAAAAGAATCCTCAAAATCGGGTCGCCATTTGTGAGGATAACACATAACATACATACAAAAAAGACACTCGAATTGTATACCTTCTTTTTCGAAGTCTCTTAAAAATAAGTCGCGGTTCATCTGTCGACTTTGAACATTTATTTTTATAGCACGGTGCTAATGTTTGCCAGGCGGATACAAAAGGTCGTGAGTTCGAAACCGCCATTCGACAACTGTCGTGTACCACTCCTAACACAAGCATTTTCGGCTTACCAGCAGGGCTAGCATGGGCAGGAGACAATTTTATCCCCGGGGAAAGGAGAAAATGTTTATCCCCTCGCTTAGTTTTATTCACCCTTCGAGCATGGGCACACCGGTGGATATAATATCCACAGTAGATACAATGGGACATAGAGTTAGATAGATTTTTTGTATGAATATAAACTTAAACCCACGTCCAATGAACTAGGATAGAATTGTCCCTTACAAATGTCAATAAAGCATAATTTTTATCTTTCATTTGACGTGGGATATATGTCTACTCGTTATGTCAAACGGGGATATACTCCCCGTTGCCGTGCTTTGGCATAGGGACAAGATGATGTTATCCCTTGCCAGTGGATATAATCGGGGGATAAATTTTTTGTCTTCAACCCATGCTAGCCGTGCAGGACGACTCCTTAAGGGGAGATAATGTTAATTGCATGCATTGCTACTATTTAAAAATATGTAGTGACCCCTCTAAATAGAGAGACCTGGTAAGAAATGCATGACGTCGATGGATGCAGGTGTTTTGTGGAAGTGGGCAGTCTTTGTGAAATGCTGTAATAGATTTTTTTTATAGGATAGGGTGACAAACGAGCACACAGTCCACCTGATGGTAAGTGGTTGCTGTGGCCCATGGACATCTACACCTGTCCTCGCTTGCGAATCAAAATGCAGATGCGTTGTCACCCGTGAGGACTAAGATGGAATGCCTCTTTTCCAGTAAAAAGGGTCTCCGGTTCTCTACACTCACCATACGAAACACAGCAATTTTAAGATACTATTTTACGCTGGTATCCATGATGATCCAAATGGATCATCATTATAGCCTATCAAAGTACACTATTGAACATAGGTCTCCGCCACATTAGAGGGGGGGGGGGGGGGGATATTGGGCGTAGTAGCCTCTGTTAGCAAGCGCAGTTTCTGTTTAGGTGTTATCAGGAAGATGCTGCTGCCCGTCTTTTGTTTCTTTTCCCACTGTCACTTATTACAGCACCCACGAAATGATATTGGGTAATGGATATTTTAACACCGCTACTACTACACCAATAGATGGATGCATGAAAAAGTAAGAGTTAAAAAAAGGCCTCCGATTCTCGTCTCTTGCCATATGTTACAGGATTCGCATGGCAAGAGTATTTTTTCTGCTATTTTATGTTGGTCTATGCGAGCTTGGTGTTTTTCCGGTCTAGTCGGATCATTAGTGCTGTAGCCATCGATATGCAGTTATATATGGTCTTCTGCTTCGTGAGCTCGTTAAAGTCCAGGGCTGGTTGTAGCAAGGATTTAATTTTGTTGCACCATTTACGTTGCCCGACGCCGGTCCAGGTATTTACTTCTGGTGCAAACGAGATGACTCTATTGCCATTTATGATGTCGTATGATTTTTGGTCTCTTCGACACCCATGGGACGAAATGGGATTATGTATTTTTTACGCCACCATCATACAGCAAGTTTTTTTTTAATAACTGCGACAAACGAGCACACAGTCCACCTGAAGGTAAGTGGGTGCTGTGACCCATAGACATCTACATCTTTCCTCGATTAAGTATCAAAATACAAGTGTATTGTCACCCCTAAGTGGGACTAAGATGGAATGCCTCGTTTCCAGCAAAAAGGGGTCTCCGGTTCTGTCTACGCACCATACTAAACGCAGCTGCATTAAACTGCTATTTTACGTTAGTATTGTGACAATGTGGTTTTCCCTGGTCGAGCCAACTCATCAGTGCTACAAATATAACATAGCTGCAGCATGGCTCACCTACGTTTAAACAGTTATATAATATACATGATGTTATATACATAACTTAAATGCCGAGGTATTTAAAACGATTCACAAGCGAATAATGCAAGTAAACACATCGACCGTGCAACAATGAACTTTCCGTAGTAGCTCCGAGTCGCGTCCGTAGTACGCAAAAGTAACCCGAGAACGATGTCCGTTGTCGGTCGATATGTTTATACTTTATACATTGCCAGTTGCAATTGTTGATTTGACACGTGGCCGACGAATTAAGAATGCATCGTGGAGAAGCTTGCATGTTTGAGAAATTAAAAAAAAATCGAAGACATCACCGAATTAGTACCGTGTAGTCAGCGTAAAAGAATCCACTGCCCCATATCATCCTGTGGATTTAGTAAGAGGCGACAGAGAGATGAAATAGGATATGGACAGCAGTGTCTTCATGACAACAACTTTAAATAAACTACGGTTGCCATCACGCCTGCCATGCGTGGTAACTGGGGTCAATATTCCCCCTAGAGGAAATCTTTAACAATTATAATTGTGGAATTCTTTTTTTTTTTAAATAAAAATCGTAATTTTTCGCGTAGCATACTTTGATTACATAACAATGACATTGTTATGTTTCTGTTAGTGTTACCAGATTTTACTTTAAAACAACAAAAGGTAAAAAAACAAAAAAAAAAAGGTTATCATAGCATCTTTAATATCTCGTCGGATCTAGATCTTTAACCTAATTACAGATATCATGGTATCTCTAATATTTCGAGCCTTCTTGATCTTTAAATCACATCTAAATGATTTTTTTATTTAAAAAAAAAAATTATTTAATAAACCCGTGTATGGCGGTTAAGAATACCCACTACCTTATTAGTATTCTTTTACATTATAGTTAATAGTTATATAAGTAATCTTTCCGGCAACTTGTTCTATTATCGAGAGGGCGACCATGTGTCCCAAGGAGGTGTCGGATTTATCGTCCACAAGTGTCTCGTTAACAACGTTGTAAAGATTGAGTGTGTCGATGAGGGTTGCGAACCATATGCTCTGAATCACCAAACGGTATTACCTGATGGTGGAGGAAATGTATGAGGATATATCTAGAGCCATGCATTCCTCGAAAACCCACTATAGGGTGTTAATGGGGGACTTCAATGCAAAACTAGGCACAAGAGAGAACGATGAGCTGAAGGGCAATTTGGAATAGGGCAACGGAACCCACGGGGCCAGCAGCTGGCCGACTTCTTGGAGAAAGAGGGACTCTTTATGATGAACTCTTTTTTCCAGAAGTGGCCCCACAGGAAGTGGACCTAGTCGAGCCCCGACGGTTCGACAAAAAATGAGATTGACTTCATTATGACCACCAGAAGAAAACTATTCAGTGATCGCGAGGGCGAAAACTGGTAGCGATCACCGAATGGTTAGAGGCACGCTGAACCAAAACGTTAAGTTGGAGAGGTCTCGTCTAATGAAGTCACAGCTCCGTCACCCTCGTGCCCTAATCCAGAGTCTCGAAACTTTTCAGCTCGATCTACAAAACAGTAAGTGCCTAGAAGATTGAAATGCAGTGGACGATATGAATGATAAGCTCGTGGAAACTGTCCATGCGGTCGGAGCTAAGTTTTGCAAGACCCGCCGCAGAAGTACAAAAAAACTCTCCGATCACACTCTTAATCTCATGGCTGTTAGGCGGTATTTTTTTTATAGAATAGGGTGATAAACGAGCACACAGCCCACCTGATGGTAAGTGGTTGCTGTGGCCCATAGACATCTACATTCATCCTCGTTTGCGAATTAAAATGCAGACGCGTTGCCACCCGTGAGGACTAAGATGGAACGCCTCGTTTCCAGTAAAAAGGGTCTCCGGTTCTCTACACTCACCATACGAAACACAGCAGTGTTAAGCTGCTATTTGACGCTGGTATTCTGTGAGAGCGTGGTCCTCCCATTCGTGCTACAACTATACTACTAATATAGCTGCAGCATGGCTCTACCACGTATAAAATGAAGCTGCAGTCTTCAGCAGATTTGACAGCGTACAGGCAATTGAACAGACAGATCTCCAAATGCATGCGGCGAGACTTACGCAACTTCAGTGCTTCTTACAGCACGTATTGAAGAAGCGATCGAGCGGAACCAGGGCTCCAAAGTCTTTGTTAGAGATCTGTCTGCCAGACAGAGCCAACTGTCGAAGCTGAAGACCGAGTGTGGCAGCGTCGTTTCCGGGACACCTGAGATTTTGAGTGAGATTGAGAGGTTCTACGGGCAGCTGTACACATCATCGTTAGAGCCACATGCAAGTGTGAGTAACGATCCAAGAGCAAGTCTTATCTGACACTATTCCGATGATATTCCGGACGTCAGTCTGAGCGAGATTAGAATGGCTCTCCAGCACCTTAAAAACGGCAAGGCCCCAGGCGAGGATGGAATTACAGCGGAGCGTCTGAAAGCGGGTGGAAAACTGGTACTTAAAATCCTTCAAAAGCTCTTTAATTCCGTCCTCCATGGTGGCACTACAACGGAGGCGTGGAGCTAAAGTGCGGTGGTCTTGTTCTTCAAGAAAGGCGACAACGCTCTCTTGAAGAACTACAGACCGATTTCCCTTCTTAGCCGCATCTACGTGCTATTTTCGAGAGTCATTACGAATAGTCTAGCACGCAGACTTGACGACTTCCAGCTTCCGAGCTTAACCGCTAAGGTTACTTCATCATCGAAACAATTTTATGAAGATAAACTTTGCTCTCTATAAGGAAGTTATTTGGACTCATAGTTTAAGAGATAGTGAAAAATTAAAATAATGAACACTGCTCGGAGCGCGAACGACCGCTTAGGTCACAGGGAAAAATTGCCCCCCCCCCCCCCCCCCCCACTAGATGGAGTGACGACCTGGTAAGACATACAGGAAGTCGATGGATGCAGGTGGCTCAGGACCGCGCTTTGTGGCTTTCCTTGGGGGAGACCTATGTTCAGCAGTGGACTTATGAAAGGCTGTAATGATGAATGATGATGATGACTCAAATGCCCTAGAAGGAGAGTAATGTTTTTCTAGTGTATATATGAATGTGTCTATTTTTTGACACCCTCTGTAGCCTAAATGTTTTGATGGATTTTAATAATAGGTCCTTACATATGAACTTAGCGTTTTGTCCTACTGACCACTTTGATCTGAAATATCTCCTCTTTGGTTAAGAATTCCAAATTCAAATTTATAAATTCATTTAGCTGGTACATTTGAGTTTTGAAAACAGTCATTCATTTGTTTTTTCCTCATTAGATGAAAGGGAAAGTACCTGAGTAGAAAGTACCTCAACCGAAAAAAAATCCATTGATAGACCTTGGAGAAATCGTAACCATCACTGAAGACCTAATCTCTAGAGTATACCAGGATGTCGCTAATATAAACCAAACAAATTATCAATGGATGTATGAAAGGGCGATATCAGCTGCTAAAATACAAGCGCTGAAGCCATCAACGATAAAACAATGGCCAAACTACCCGGCGACAAGATAAACCACCTTGCTATTGATACTGTCACGGATCAAGAAGACGCGGTACATTACCGCCAAGAATTTTTAAATTATTTGAATCCTTGTGAGCTGCCCTCCATATTCATTGAACTTAAAAAGTGGCACTCCCATTATTTTATTACGAAACCTGCGGCCATCTAGTCTATGTAACGGAACTAGGCTTCATGTTAAATTTCTTAGAAATAACATCATAGTTGCTATAGTTTTGACTGGGCCAGCAGTTGGGCAAACGGTACTAATACCTCGAATTCTTATGATACCTACAGATTTACATTTGGTTTTAAAAGAATACAATTTCCCATAAAAGTATCGTTTGCGGTCACTATAAATAAAGCACAGGGACGGACTTTTAAGCACGTGGGGATAGATTTAAGTTTTGCCATGGGCAGTTATGTGTTGGCTTATCTAGAACAAAATGCGAATATATTTTAAAACCAAATGAAAAGGTGACTAAAAATATTGTCTATACTGAAGTACTATAAATTAATTAATCTATCAGTAGTTTCTTAAATAATATGCCGGTGAAACCGCGGGGCACAACTAGTACAAAATATAACACTAACGGTTGAAAATGTATTCTTTATAGTCGTGCGTTTGTATGTTTGTTACTTTTTTTTTTAAAAAACGTTACCCCCACACTAGGATTTTCTCCTGTGTCGTGGAGGCAGTTTACAAACATAAATTGCACAAGGACAAACATCCAGACCCGGAACAATTATTTGTAGTAGTATTACTCGTAGTTTACCATCAAATAGGGTTATAAAGGTAACCATTTTAGAAGCCAACTTTTTCTGTTAGACCGGGGTATTAAGTCATATTCCAAAGAAGCTAATTTCTTCTGTTAGATCAGGGTGTTACCTCCTAAATAATTGCAACGCATTAAACAACAACTGACCATGGAAGTCTTGGACATGTCTTGTTGAGGAGCGGGCGGCGCTGATGGTTGCGGCGTGGGCTGGGCGCGAAGGTTCGGCTGCGAGGCGCCAGCGCCAGGCAGGAACCCTCCGCCCGCCGTCCCCGATGGATGGTAGCACTCAGCCCCTGGAAACCATCACGATCGTTAGCCCACCAACTGAATTCCCCACGCTGAACCTACCGTCCCCAGCTCACTCACTGTGTGGTGTTGACGCCCGCGGATAACTGATCTGTGCTAAGGAAATCAACTTTGAAACGCTACAAGCATAATCACAAACATTATTATATCAAGATCTAAAATCACTATATATATATATGTGTTACTATACTAATATCAACGCATTTAATAAATATATTTTTACGCTCTTTGCAACTATACATCGCTAGGTTCGTAGACAGCGTCACTTACGCGACTGCGTGAGTAGCCGCCTATAGCTGTTGGCGAGTGTCATGCAGTTGGTGTAACGCGGTGACTCGTGCTTCCCTGATGCCGGCAAGTGCTGCATCTGCATGCCTCGCCCGCTCGTACAGTTCCGGGCGCCATTGCTCGTAGCCAGCTCTGGCTGACCCCTGTGGCCCGAGCACCCGTGCGGGCCATAGCCATTAATACCTCTTAGTGCGACCATTTTGATTTCATGATACAAATCCTTGAGAAATTGAAGCAGCCAAATATTGAACCATTCCCAGAAGACCGGTGATACGATCATCTGCATAAGGCACCTTCCACTTTGCCGTCACGCCACGCACCGCATCCCCGACGAGGTTACGCTCACCGCATAATTAACGCGCTAGTGTTAATTGTACAAAAATTTTAGGCACCACAATTCGATCTAAGCTATATCTACATCCGAATTTAAATTTTACAAGCGTATCGCATTTTGCTAAAATGTTTGTAGTCCGCATTCACGATTTAATAGTAATTTAATGCAGCATAGAGAAAATCGATAAGGAAACGGCTCGCTACATGGACCGCGGCAGCCGGCCGCCGCGGCACTTTCACTCGGACGCGCACTTTTGTCGCGAAGCTCGTGTTCGCCGAACCCGCCTTAATTCATTTAAAACACCATTTATTAATAATATCCGTGAATGCTGCAAATTCGACCGGCGTGCTACGCGCTCCGTATAAGCTAGTAAATCTAGACAAAAACGTTGTTGACGCGGGTAAAAGAGATGAACGTAGTTCTAACTCCGACTTTACGAATTTAGGGCGTTCCGGCGTTGATGTCTACCCTCTCGTTCGTTTTGAATCGAAGAGGGGAAACTTAACCGCTTTACATTGCCTCGTGGCCGCAACACGCCGCGGCTAACTCTTATCTTTAGCAGCAATGGATGCGAATGGAACGATAACACCGTTCGCCCGCTAATCCAGTGATGCAAGCAACGTGCTTTATATTATGTTGTAAACGACATGGGGAGCGAATTTTCATTTTTTTTTTAGGGTTGTCTGGTGTTGCTAGATGAAAGCGGAGAGCAGCGCCCTCGAGCGAATCGATACATCGACTGAGTTGGCGGGCCACTACCGCTGTTATAGTTCTATGTAAAACAACAGCACCCAGTCGAGAAAGTTAGATGATACGGAGTAATTATATATGGATTCATTCGGCGAATATTGGCTCGAGAGATATTTCGCGAGCCATTACATGCTCTATGATACTGAGGAATATTTCTGTTATATTTTTTTCTCTATTATCATTATGATACGGTTACAGGTGGGGAAAAAGTATACTAGAAACAGTTCACCGCAATGACATGAATAATGTATGAGCAAAGAAAAGGTACATAAATTAGTTTTGTTCTCACTTGAGTGGATATTTGTTAATTTGTACATACCAAGATCTATACAATCTCGGTCATGAGTTTAACATTTTTAATATGAACTGAATGTGCATCGAATGAAAAATGTTAACTTTATAATTTTAACAGATATTTAAAAAAAAGGCGAGGTACAGCTTCCGCGAGTTTGGCACCCTCATTTTGACCTATTTCATTTATTAAATAGTTTATTCGGTAATTCTCATAATGGACTTTTTGTACATTAAATAATTTATTCTCCTAGTTCTCTCAAAATAGTCAAAAATATAACTTTTAAATCAAAAAGAAAAATTTCCACGTTATAGCTTTTGCAGTTGTGGCTTTAATTCGTCGACACATACTGCTAAGATGACTTCAGAAGCTATCGTGTCGAAATTATTTTAATATTCTTAGTTCTTTGAAATTAGTTTTTAGTCTGTATTAAAAGTTTGATTTTTCTATTTAGAAGAGCGGGAAGCGTCCGCAACGCTCCTTTAAACGCAGGTTGGTGGTGTTCACGTTTCACAGTATACGTGGCTATGCCATGACATCCGACATCTACTTACATTGCTTGACTATCAAATTCAAAGCAAGCCAGAGATTTCTTGTGTTCGTGTGGATCCCGGGATGGTTTAGATTCACAATTGAACCGGGTAGGTGGCGCTGTTGTCGCGATACAGAAATCACACGTGCGAAGCCGGATCGGACCGCTAGTAATTAAATAAAATCAACCAAGCACGCTAAAGCATAGGCTTATTCATCAAAGTGAACACGGCCTTACTACACGTGCTCGCATTCATCGGGTACACAATTTGCGCTAACGCGTCCGTATGACCGTCCATCACACGAATTCCGATGCCTCTATTAACAGTTATTTTATAACAAAAATATTAATAAAAAATGCGCATGTACGCGAGACTAGTTTCTGTAAATAAAACGTAAAAACCAGTGTCATTTTTACTAGAAAGTAATAATTACATCTTAATCTTCATTTTGATTCTTAATAGAGGATAAATGTAGATGTCTATGGGCCACAGCATCCACTTACCATCAGGTGGACTGTGTGCTCGTTTGTCATTCTTATTCTATAAAAAGATGTTTTCAATATGATTAACTACCTTAACTTTTATCGTCTTGTTTTACATAGAAAGCTCGCCCTGTAGTATTCTATAACAAACCCGCCCTTATTCCTGCATGTTACATTACCTAAGTATATATTTTCTTAAAGTGTAAGGCAATTGCATATGGTTTGGCAAATACACACACACACACACACACACACACACACACACACACACACATATATAATATATTCGAACACACTTTGGCAAACACACATATAACTGTCCCGCTGGGTTTCTTACTGCTTCTGCCTAGGACAGAGAACTATTTTGTAAAAGCATAAATGACTTAAATAAGTATTTTATTACAAATAGCGATAGAAGAGGCAACTATATTGCTAAGCTAATTAGTACTAATTTGTTCATTATAAGAAAGTATTTAATTTATTATTAACTAGCTGTTGTAATTTAGGGTTTTAATTATGTTGCGTTGGAACCCTAATTCTTTTTCTAAAATATAAGTAGTCTAAGTTACTCATAACATCATCTAATGTCCCATCGAAATCGGTCCAGCCGTTTCTGAGATTAGCCGGAACAAACAGACAGACAGACAAAAATTTTGTTGTAGTAAAAATTGTGTTTTTGTTATAAGTACCGTATATACTTTCATATACATTTAGTAAAAAACTGTTACATATTTTGATATTACAAACAGACACTTCAATTTTATTTATTAGTATAGATAGCGATAGAAAAGGCAACTATATTGCTAAACCAATTAGGACTAATTTGTCCATTATAAGAAAATATTTAATTTATTATTAATTTCTTTTTTTTTGTGCTACGATTGTAACTTTTTTACCTATCTATCTCTACAAAAAAATAAGACGGGTACCATATTGGTTTTGGGACTAAGGCGTGATTTAACTTGGATTCCGTGCTAGACGGTTTGGGTCATATAGCCGTGATAGCGATACCGTCATTCTTACAATTTTGGATTCCGATGAATAATCATATTATAAAGATTCATATAAAGACAAATAAGTTAACAGTGCTATGAGAACTGTCATGTAAACAGAAATGGCTGCCACTAAAATTTATTGGTCATCTAAGTATGTGCCTGTAATTGATACAGTGATTACAGTCGCATTCCACACAGATTCGCGTGTGTGAGAAGAACGGACTTTATATACAATGTGTAGCGTCCGCGTAAATACAAAGAAATCAGGTTATCATTCATTACATCACCCAGGGGTGTCACTTCCACTATGGAAGGTATGGAGCACTCCATACCTCAAGTTTTTCAAGGTATGGAATTCCATAGCTGAAATTAGGAAATAAATCGCATATTACTACAAACCCCATATAAATAAATCGCAAGCCCTTAAACCTCAATACCCCACATCTTATAGTTCAATAAATAAGTTGAGTATATACACTGCAAACTCTTAAACCTTAATACCCCACGAGTAATGCGAACAAATTTGAAAATCGCGCCACCATTTTCCATACCTCAGATTTTTACAAAGTGACACGCCTGACATCACCTATTTTAAACAATTGATGTTTAATATAGGTGATGTAACGAATGTTTAACTTTTCAAACCACAATCTCCTTAGTCAAAATATTAGTAATAATAGTAGTATAGTTGTAACACGGATGGGTCGGCTCGACCAGGGAAGGAACACGCTCTCACAGAATACCAGCGTAACACTGCTGTGTTTCGTATGGTGAGTGTAGAGAACCGGATACCCTTTTTACTGGAAAAGAGGCATTCCATCTTAGTCCTCACGGGTGACAACGCATCTGCATTTTGATTCTTTATTGAGGATAAATGTAGATGTCATTTGTCACAGTAACCACTCACCCTATCCTATAAAAAAATAGTAATAGAGGAATAGAAACAGAGAAAGAAGATAATTGTAGAGGTGTGCGAGACTCGTGAATTTATTTTATAATATGTCATTTATTACAATTATGTAGTTGATGTAAAATGTTTTTTTTAAATACGCTAAACCAAGCTTAGTTTCGGTATTTTATCTTGATATATCACTATAATGAAAAAGGTCTATTTTTTAAAAGTTTTATGTCTTTAACTTTATAATTTTTTATAATCTAGATTTTGAGAATCAGTATCTATATATGAATGTTAAATAAAACTTTATTTTTAGTTAGATTCTGTATAGAAACTTTATTATTACATTACACTTCACAATTAGTTAATAAGTGCTATTATTATTAGATTTACATAGAATTTTCAACCGACTTCAAAAAAAGGAGGATGATCTCAATTTGACTGTAGTTTATTTTTTGTGTTACCACAAAACTTTTTTTCTAGTTGAACCGATTTTGATGATTCTTTACTGGTATTT